AGTTCGCAATTCCATTTTACTTTTATGCTATGCACCAAGCTTTGCCCAAAAGGCAGCCAAAGCAAAGCTCGAAATATACCATATTTTAGCCTAAAAATTGTTTTACTTAAAATAAATATCTTTTAGGTTGGACCCAGCACCGAAGCATAGGTAACTTGGGCCACAACCTTTGCATTTAGCCAAACATATTTGGCAGATCAAATTTAGCCCGCAATTTCTATATGAAAATATCTACGGCATGCAATATTTTCAGTAGAATGGGCAAAAGTAAACAAAAAATGTAAATGTTAAATTAAAATGTTAAACAAATATGTAAGCCAAGGTTTGAACCAAGACGTTGGTTCAAGGCTGTGGCAAACCAACGAACAATGGACACATTTCATTTTGAGCTTGTCTTTAATATGTAGGAAAACAAGGAAACATAAAAAAACATTTTCAATTGCTTTGGCTAACGCTTTAGTTGGGAGTAAAGTGTCAGCTGTCCAAAGTAAAGTTCCAAGATATTAGACAAAGAAAATGTGGGACGCAATGTGCCTGAAAATATGAGTGGGATTTGTCTGCAACAGGAAACCAAGAAAAACTGCAAGCTCCGAAAGTTGCCTTATGAAATTAATATATTTTTAAAATCTAAAACAATGCAACTTTAACTTAATATTTGTGGAGCACCAATATCTTGCTAAATATCTATTAATTATGCTTGTTTGTAATTGTTTCTTAATAGCCTTCTCTGCATTTGAGATATGCAAATGTGAAAACCTAAAATGACCGTTAGCTGTTATGTTTAATTGCGACTAAAATAGAGATTTAGCATATATTAAATCTTTGCCAAATGCCAGGTAATTAAGCCAAAATGTGACAAAACAAAAATTGATAAAGGGCGATTAAGAAATTTTAATTTTAATTGGCAGCTTAATTTTGTTATTTTCTTTGGCAGGCATATTTTTATGGCTTACGTCTTGTAAACGCAGTAAAATAAATGCCTATGGAGCTTACATCAATTCATTTTCCCAGCAAACATGTTGAGAGATTCATGGTACCCGCCCGAGCAAGCTGAGTAGGCACATTCAATGAGCAAGCACATCTGCATGGCGAGTGCCTGGAGCTGAGATGCGACGTGTCGATGGTTACACGATAGCTAGATACTTAGAACGAGAGCCATGCAATTATGATCCGCTAGCTTTGGCTGAGCGCGCTGCTCATGGGCATGTCCACGCCCAGGAAGAGCTGCAAGGCAGCAGCCCCCCTGAAGCAAGCTCTTCCGAATCGACTACAACAAAAAATTGCATTGAAAAAAAAAATAGATGCACTTATGCTAAATGAAATGTAAACTTGACGCAAAGTAGATTTATTATTAATTTAAACATTGTCGTCGTGGAAAACAGAAGTGAAAATGCGAGCGGCAAATGACAACTCAATGTGCCTGTCGCTGGCATTGCGTCGGGTGGCGGCGGTGCAAATTATGAAATTAGTATTATGTGAAATGGAGTTAAAAGTGTGATTAACTTGGCGCGTATGTAAAACCCCCAGTCGAAGCCACAGCCAAAGACAAAGGCATCCGAGGCATTAAACATAAAGCATACGGCATAATAAGCTAGCTAAACCAAACGGCAAACCGCAAAAACGCCAAAGACAATGAAAGTCAACTAGTTGCGTGTGTGTGCGCGTGCGTGTGTGTGTGTGTGTGTGTGTGCGAGTGGCAATTAATACCATTTCAGTTAGTTTTCGCAGCCAGCAACTGTTTTCCAAGTGAGCAAGCATGCGATTTCGTCTCCAGCTCCCAACGCTGACAGAAGAAGAAGACAAACACATCAGCCCTGCAACATTGTTGTTGTTGTTGTTGTTGTTGTCGTTGCTGCTGCTGTTGGCTTATTAGCAATGGCACTTAGAATCGGCATTGGGCTTGTCAAGTGGAGAAAGCCACGCAATGCGGTTGCCCAAAAAACCGCAAGCGCAGCGTTCCAACTCCACAGACAGCTGCATGTTATTTCAAGTTCGTTGCCTAAGTCTTTTGTTCTGCATGCGGTAAGTGCACGAAAAACAAATAATTTCGCATTGAGGCTGAATGTGTGAAACAAATTGGATTAACTGGCACGCGAATCTGTTGCCCAGCTGCGAGCTTCGATTTCGATTTCGATTGCCAGCTGGGCAGGGCCTCGTCCAGCCTCGTCACAGGGCAATGTCTGTTGCGCTTTGCTTGCTTCGCTCTCTCAACTTTTCTATAGTTGACTATAATCATACAGTATTAAATGTACATAAAAACTAATACTCGAGACCAAAAACCAAAGCCAAATATAATTTATAAGTATTAAAAAGAAAATCAGCAGACCAACAATTAATAGACCATGAATAGCAGCTAGACGTTTTCATTGCTTGGACTTTTTAGAGAAAATTGCACACTTTTCAAAGCTAAACTTCAGACTCAGTTTCAGATCTGACTAAGGTACACATAACTCTCATATCTCTTTGAAAGGGATTCATTAGCAGGCATTAAACAAAAGGCAATTTAATAAATTACAATAAATTGAAATTAATTTAAATTTAAATAAATTTTCATTTTATTTTTGCACTTAAGTGCTTAGAAAGTTGTTATGAAGTTATTTATTTTCATTATTTTAATAATTTCATAATTTTATGGAATTCATAATATTATACTCAATTTTTATGTTAGATCTTTTATTAAAGAATATGAACCTGCATTTTATTGACTTTGATTCGAGTATTAATAGTTAAACGCAATTTTATAAATTTAATTGACGAATTTAAATACTTTAATATTTATTTATATTATGGCAAATGCCTGCGCTTTTATTAATGTTGTGTATTAATGTTGTTTGTTAAAGTACTTTGAACTTACAATAAATATTACAAAAACTAACCTTTTAATTTGAAGCGAGCTGCGTCAATTGTTTGCAAAATAATGAAATGAATGTTGAACTTTGTTTTAATTCCTTTTCTTTTCGTTGTTGTTTTTTTGTGAATTTTTGTTTAAACATAAGTAAGCAACTATTTTGAATACTTGTCGACTTCAGCTCACGCAAAACATTTTTCAGCGGCTTTTGCAAATATTGTGCAAACTATAATTAATTGCATTGTGAAAATAAATGTTGCATAAAAACGATAAAAAAAAATGCAGACACAAAACAAAACAAATACAAGAGACATGCACGAGTAACAGACATAGGCACAGGCACAGGCAACGTCTAGGGGTCAAGGATTCCTTTTTCATTTATTTTTATCTTTTTTTTATATATTTTTTTTGGCAGCCGTTGAACAAACGTAACGGCAACAAGTCAAACGGGCAACCAGCGTACAAGAAATGCGCGCGCTTGCAGCAGCTCGAGGCACGAAAAAGACGACTACGACAACGACCACGATCACGACGATGACGATGACGATAACGATGGAGCTGCCTGTGAACCGGGGCCGGTAGCGATCCGTCAAACACGTTTCCCAGTTACAACTTCCCAACGGAATGATTTGGCCAAATCTGCAGCAGCGCCAATGAAGCTCGGCTAGACTGCCAGAGACAGCGACAACGGCGCCCACCGTTAACATGTAGCTGGCGCCGGCAAGAGAGAGAGAGCCCAACCACAGGGAAAGAGGTAAAGAGAGAGAGTGAAAGAGTGCGGCAGCCCAAAGCCGGCTGCTCACCTATCTAGCTATCACCTGCTGCCAGCAGCCGTCAACAGCATTCGCATAGAAAGAGAGAGAGAAAGAGAAAGAGAGAAAGAGGGCGAATGTGTGTGTGGAAATGACTCTCTTTGGCTTGCACTGAGAGCTGAAGAAAGTAGCGAGTCGCTTTGTCTGCGAGCACCCTATAAGACTGATATTCAAGCAGCTACTGTTGCAGCTCCAGTTCAGATTCAAATTTAGCTAATTGAATTTGTCAACTGGAGCCATCGGCTTGCCTAAGTGGTTCCACTGGAGACACCACTGAGCATGCTTGACAAGCTGACATGTTTTGCATATCGATATAACGGTGTTTCGGTGCTTCAAGTAGTTGTTCTGCTTAAAGCAAATTAAGCTTCATAACTCTTTGTATTTAATTATTGACAGCTTCCAATTTCTAGTCATTATTGCGATGCGCTTATTAGAAGGCCTGATGAGCAGCCAAGTGAGTATACCCTGTATTGCACTATCAAAACGCTTACGAGTTCATTGTAAAGAGACTCTTGAAAACCAAAATCAAGCTGACTGAAGATCCTTTGTAATGGCTGTCCCAACACTTTTTCATAGCATATATATTATTCCTTCCATTCTATTCCTTAACCATACTTAAATTGATCGCTATGTTCCTCCCTCTCTCTCTCTCTCTCTCTCTCTCTCTCTCTCTCTCTCTCTCTCTCTCTCTATTACAGCTGCAGATCCCATCTCAGTTGCCTGTCTGGCGGAAACGGCGCTTAAGATTACAGATGAAGTCCCGTAAAGTGTTTACTGGGCGGACACATCCTTATTCACATATTTTATTCCCTCCATTTATTTCCATAAAATATCTCTTCTAAATTGATGTCAAATTTGACACGCAAATCAGTTTAGCCTTGAATTTCCCTTCATATTATCGATATGTTATCAAATTGTAAAGATACATTTTATTTCCCAATCAATAATTTGACTCATTTAAGCAATTAATTCACTATCTCTAAATCTGTTAAATATTTTATATCTTGAGTAACTCAAACAGATGAAGAAAAACAACTGATTTGATGAGTTTTGTTTTTTAAATTTCCCTTTCATACTATGAGTAAGTTTTTCGATGCCCACAACGAATTGTAGAGTCGCATTCAAATCCCAATCAATTACATCGATTACTTTATTTGAGGCCTATAAAAAGGGCAGATCTACGTAGGATAACTCATTCGTCTACAGCCTGGCTGGCGGGCGAGACCATTTTTTGTTTTTCTCCTTTTTTTACTTAGTTTTAATTTTTATAAAATATTGTTGTATATATATATTTTTTTAAATATTTTTATTTTATTTCTTTCGCTTGCATTTCAAAAGTTGATAAGAAAGATGAAATATTTTAATAAATTTTGACCTTGTATGTGTCATGTGTATGTCATTTATTGCAATGTAGTACAAATATTTCTACTGTTGGTTAAATGCCGAGAAGTATGGTGGCTGGAGTTTAAGCGAGATCCCTTAAATAAAAACTTTTCCTTTTCAAACAACTTTCTTTAGGGTGGAGTTGCAAAAGCGTATGTTACACATATGAAACGATTTAACTATTGGTAAGTTGCTTGTATAATTTCAAAACGGGCATATTCCAAATCACGAAGCAGATTCTAGACGCTGGTTTTAAGCTGCGACGGGTGGGAGTTGCTGGCTGTTGAAATGTTTGTAAACAGTTGCAGTTGGTGGTTTTTCTTTTTCTCAATGAGTCGTAAACTAAAAAAAAAATGTTGATTTTTCATTTTACTTCGTGTTGCATAAGCAAATCTCTTCAAATGAGCTCACTTTCAAAAAAAAATTGTAACAGGAAAAAAAAGTAAAGTTTGTTTTCGGCCCACACGGCGTATGCGCAACGCGCACATCCGTCATAACTTTAAGCTGGAGGCTCTTTTTCCACAGGCTTCACCTGTTTGACCCACGGCCCTTCAGACGTATGGGCAATGCGCAAAAGTCAAATCATGACTCTCAACTGGAGGCACTACGTCCACTCGGTGTCGCTTTTAAGCCAAACAGAGCGGCAGATTGCGCAAGGCGAGCCGCAGGCGAATTGCCGTTTAATTGCCGTATTCAAAGCTGCAATTAATTTGGTTTTTTCTTCATTTAACTTGACTTCAAAATTTTAATTAAAGGCAATACACAGCGATGCGTAGCCACTCGGAAATGGCAGACGCTCGACTAGAATCGAGCGAAGAGCAATATCGCAAAGCATTGCCAAAATTAATTTATCTTTATGCTGTGGGTCCATCCATGTTTTCGTTCCGCTGTTTTGTTCTTTGTGGGCCAAACATAAAATAAACATGGAGTACTTCTTACAGAGAAGAGAAGAGTACTTCTTATAGAGAGGGTATGAAACCAAACATAAAATAAACATGGAGTACTTCTTACAGAGAAGAGAAGAGTACTTCTTATAGAGAGGGTATCAATACGTCTGGAAATGTGTTTAAGCTGCGGCAGTTTCAAATTAATTCTTCGGTTTAGTTTTTCAAAGTTTAAAGTTTTTATAATTGAGTTTGTTTTTTGCTTTTAATCATTATTTTTTGTTTTAGTTTTTTTGATCGGTTTTATTAACTATCAACCAAATATGATGGTTCCATATATTTTTGTTTTTCGTCGTCTTTGTGCTTATATTTGTTTTTTTCTACACAGAAGTTAATGGAACTTTCAGCTATAAATTGTGCTGCCTGACAGCCAAGAAGCATCACAAGCTATTGGAGCAGCGCCCCGAGAGCTACTTAAACATCAGCAACAGTAACAACAATCAACTAATTCAACTATCAATATGAAGGTAACAGGATTCATTCAAGGATTCATCTTTGGGGCCGACTAACATATACACTTACAGGTCTTTGTGTGCTTGCTTGCCACCCTGGCACTGGTTAATGCTGGACAGCGCGGCGGAGCTGGCGGTGGTGGCTATCTGCCAGGCGGTGGACGTGGCGGCGGCGGTGGCGGCGGCTTCAGGAATGGAGCTGGACTCATCTCTCATGTCTCACAGTTGCATGGCAACACGAAGGTGCAAATTGGCTCTGGCGCTAGCGCTGGATCCTATGGCGGTGGTGCTGGCGGTGGCGGCGGTGGCTGGCAGGGAGCAGGTGCTAGCGCTGGAGGTGGACGCGGAGGCTATGGTGGTGCAGGCGGTGCTGGTGGCTGGCAGGGTGCTGGTGCTGGCGCTGGCGGCTATGGCGGCGGTGCTGGAGCTGGCGGCTGGCAAGGAGCTGGTGCTGGTGCTGGTGGTGGTCGCGGCGGCGGCTACGGCGGCGGGGCTGGAGCTGGTGGCTGGCAAGGAGCTGGTGCTGGTGGCGGACGCGGCGGCTATGGCGGCGGTGCTGGTGGAGCTGGTGGCTGGCAGGGAGCTGGCGCTGGCAGTGCAGGCAATGCCTGGGGCAATCCGGCCTCGTTCGATTATTCAGTGAACCATGGTGCTAGCGCCTCCGTTGGTGGCGGTTCTCGCGGTGGTGCTGGTTGGTGGAACGATTAAAATTATTGTTTGCACTAGATACAGAATGGATATGACAAACCGAATAAAATGAGTTAATCAAACAGGAAAAGCGTTTCAATTAAAGAGGGTTGCCAAGTACCTTAAAATTGGCTTGCAGAGAAGCTTTAGCTAGACTTTGAACCAAATAAAATATATGCCAGATGGCGGCTCAACAGCTTGGCAACGGCTTTAAGCTGAGCTCCTTTAGATGGCAACACAAAGTTCGTGACAAGAGTCTTTTGTTTGAGCGTTCCAATTGATAGCTGCAGATGGCGCTTCCAGTTTAACTTGGCCAAGCTTTCAGCATAAACGCCAGAGCGCGCCACATGCCATGTGTTATCTTGAGCTCTAGATGGCGCCAGCTTCGAAGCCGGCCAGTTCGTTGCTGAAGTCTTTCGTTTAATATAAAACCTGTTCGCTTAACCATCTCTCGTGATATTTGTACCGCATTCAGACCGGGTTAATGAAGTTCAATGTCAGAGCGCGGCGTTGGCTGTGAAAAGCGAAAGTCGAGCGATGGCATGGGCTGGCCCCATCTGTGCTCAGCCAGATCACAACGGTATCATCGGCGCGTCAGCTCAGTGTCATAATACAATGGCCATAAAGGATAAGCCCGACTGATAGGCTGCGGCGGTATTCATGCACTTGAAGGCATTCCACATTGAAACTGGACTAAACGCATTTGGGCAATTAAAATTAAACAGCTTTGCTTATTGTATTTGGATTTTGCCATTATATATTTTTTTTGTTTTTGTTTTTTGTTTTTCATTCTCATGTTTTTGATTTATTGCCAACCATTTCACGTGTGTATAAACTTGTCTTTACCTTTTGATTTTTCGCTTCCGCCGTTTGCTTTTGTTTGATAGGCTTTGCATTTTGTATTTGCCATGTCATGTGTGTGTGTGTGTTTGCGTGCTTGTGTGTTTATTTCTTTGTGGTCTACCGTATGGTCAAGTGCCGTTTGGCTGCTTGGCGTCGTCGTGTCTCGCATGAGACGTGCCCAGAACCTTGGCAAAGCCACAAGCAATCGAATGGCTTTTTTGCATTTTGTGCATAAGACAAATATAATTACACAAGCAAATACAATTTGTTGTTGATTTCGAATTGTTGCCGTGTGTATTTGCATTTCATATGTTTGGCTCAGCTCAACTGGTTTGCCATCTAGCAAATATTTGCCGTATTGCATGTCTGTCCCAACACACTGAGCAAACTTTACATTGTGGCATTGAGCGAAGACCAATTATTTCGTAATTTTATGAAGCAACCAATTTATAAACGCCAGAAAATAAGAGTAAGTACTTGATGCGGGGCTAAGTTCAAGGGCAAGGCATATATTCTGGAAGCTGAAACAAGATTTGGAAGGCAACATTTAAAAGTTTTAGTAAGAAAGCATGTTTACACCTAATTCGATTAGATTCAAATGTTTTCCATTTAGTTAATTAATAAAATAATTCTTTGACAAGTTTAAAACGCTTCATTAGTAGATGCAACAAGTCATATACGAAATGAGACTTTGCGCTAAGGAATAAGCTTTAACAAAATAAAACTGAGCTAGCTGAGTTATTGTATTTAAAAGTTATTATTTCCAAACATAGATTAACAACAATCTAGGGCACAATCTCCGCGGCCAATGAGACATTTTGCATGCTAACTGCTTGATTTGTGAAATAATATTTTCAGGTTTATATATATAAACTGTTTCTTTATACTTCAAATTGGTGTTAATGGAACTGCGTTGGTCTCAGAGACGACTTTTGATATTTGTTTTTGATTCATTTTTTTTCTTTCTCTTTACAATTTTCACAGCATTTCAATCATAGTTTTATTTAAATCAGTATAGCTACTGAGTTTTTGCATATTGAGTAGCTGCCGCTGTAAATGTTTATGAACAGGATTATTTGAATGCAATTAAAAAACAATTTTTATGGGCCACGTTAGTAGCGGCAGCCTTAATGCTACAGCTATTTTAATTTATATGTTTTGCATTCCCATCAATTAGCTACAGAATACAGCATGCACAAATACATGTACGTATGTATGTATATGCATATATGTATATATAGTATATCGATGGTTTTTATGTGTACGTCTGATTACTATGGAAAGTAGGCAGCCGTTTATGCAAATCAATTATATCGCCGAGAGCTGTTCATTTTTATATGCATTAATATTACATCCATGCCTGTGTACATACATATGCATACATACATACACACTTATGTGTGCACGTATACGTGGTACGAACAGTTAGTACGTTAGTACGAACAGAATCTTTAATATATGCCACACGGCTGCATTGAGTATAATTATAATTATATGCCAGCTATAGTTTATGAGTGTCATCAATTCTGCAACCCTATAATGACAATGCGCGGTACTTGCGAGGGTCGATTAACAACTAGGTGACTTATGCTCTAGACTAAAGAGCTTGACTGGAAGCGAAGAATATATTAATTAAAAATTATTGTGTCCGCATATCGTGAATATCAATTGGACTACCGAAAACAGTGCTGGAACGTTGTGTTGCAATCAAGGATACATTTAAAACCAACTGAACCACCCACTCACGTGAGCTTGCGAGTAGAAGCGACCACCAAAAACTTAAGTCTTTATGCACTGCAGCTAGACATTCACTTCTGTGCAGTTGGGTCAGTAATTGCATATGAGTTAGTGAATAATTAAATATTTTAATTTCACGCAAGCCTTCAGATTGAAGGCAATGCGATGGGAACTCATTTTTATGGAAGATGATTCTATTGTAACAAAAGACGCGTTGCCCGCCAACCAAATGTATCTATCCACAGCATTTTTATCTTTATCTAATGAACGTTTTGAAAAACAAAAGCACATGATGGTTTTTTTTTTATTTTTTGTTTTTTGTTTTTCATCTTGGTGCTGGCAGCGCGTGAGGCCCCAAAACTGGTTAAGAATATTTCTGAATGCTGCCGCACTACAAGGCGAAACGGCAGCAAAAAAATATATGTATATATATACATATATCTATAGAAAAACGTACAATGGCGACCTAATATACAGATCGTAAAACTATAAGATCGTTGGGTACTTTATGTATATATTTCGAGAGCTGCGAGCTTGTATGTATAATGGCATATAAAAATCTTAATACAAATTCTTTATTTTTCTTAGTTTTAATCTTATTTAACGTGTCATATATACGAATTAGATTTAATTATCAGTTTGGCAATATTATTTACAACTTTGATGATAAAAATATAATTAATAAAACTTCCATTATGCGCTTTTAAATGTCATGTCTCTAAATGGCGTATAGCAGAAAATTAGTTAAAAGCTTAAATAAATTTAAATAAATTCTCGGAAATGCTAAATTTTTTGTTATATTTGTGTACTATTATTTAGCAAAAACAGAGGTTGCATAATTATTATTAATCTTAAATATACGAATTAGTTAATTCATTTTGTTTCTATTTTCGGCAGCTGCAATTTGAATTAATAAGCTAAAACACAGCCAAAATGAAGCATAGGAAATAAAGAACTATTCTACTTATAACTATATATATTGGCTGACCTTAAGATATCTTAATTGAAAAATGTCAAATGTGAGCCAAAGATTTCCTCAATAGATATAGCTAATGAATCAATTGTTACAGCATACAAGACCTATAGAGACATACATATTTATGGGCTGATAATAAACACCCCCAACCACAAGAAATATCGAGATTTAGAGCTTAGCATACATTTTCTGTAGGCCTTAAGGTGCATTGAACTCTGGAAGTTGCCGGGTTCTAACCAAACTATTTCTTTGTATTTTCTTAGTACCAACAACTACGTATATATACACATAGTATATATATAGTATAGCATACGTATATATGTACATATGTACGTATTGCTCAGTCAATTGACTATGCAAATATGAGCCAAAACATAGGCAGCATCTCGGAGCTGAGCCGAGAACCGGTTCTGGCTTGGGCCTATTTATAAGCGATGATGTTGATGGGAGCGTTTCGATATTAGGCCAAGCCTAAGGCTGTCAACTGAAGCGATCTGGTCCCACTCATTGGCTTCCTGATTACCTGATCTGGCGTTACAGTTTGTCGTTTTGCACAGGCCACTGAATACGCTTGGCTCGTGTGGGACCTTGGTCTGCAAATGAACAGCAGCTACTATGGACGGGCCGTCCAAATATCATTTAACAATTGGGTAAGCTCTGCGTGTTGTCGACTGCTTTTGACAAACTGTTGATCTATTGTTGATGCTGTCTTTTCTGTCTCTCTTTTGCTTCTTCTTTTTCCATTTGATCAAACGCCGTTAATTTGTTTGACTTGTGGCCCAATGGATCCAACTTATGTTTGAGAAAACAGCCAGCATGCTCTTCGAGCGCGTTAACAACTATCAGATACCCTGTAGCAGGGCGCCAATTAGCTTAGTTTGACTTAGCCTAACGCTTAGCACAGTCAAAGCTCTACATGTAGTATTTTTCTTTAGCTGATAGCCAACATATGTGCACTATTTGGCATACCCCTTAGGGGTACAGCCCATAAATACAGGGTATAAACAATAGCCAAGTCCAAGCCGCGCATGCGTAAAGATTTGCATAGTTACCGGAGACAATCGGCAAACAAAAGGCACGTCGGCAGCTGGTCAAAAGCAAATATCTTGAACAACATAGCACATACACATACAATATATGTGGGTTATTAATTCTATTAATTGCTTAAACGATCAAAAGCAACAAATTGCTGAAGCACTCAAATCAAGTTTGCCGCTCATCGTGCTTCAACTCGTGACACGAACGTGCGCTTGATGGGAATTTGAACTATGTGAGAGAGCGATATTTTAAGTAAAGCATACATTATATATAATTATAAAACTAAAATAGTATTAAAAACATCTTTCTGAAAAGCCATTTATATATATAAGACTTCTATAAGTCATAAGTTCTAGTCTGGCTTTTCGGACACGAACCCCAAAACATTAAGAGAAACCATCAGCCGAAAGTTATATATTAATTTCCAGCTTAAGTTATTTACTTACTGTACAAAAGAAATACGTCGTGCATGTCGTGTTTCATCGCTAACATTGCTGCTGCCCGTGCACGACACGCGCCCTTCTCTACGCTGAGGCACTTGCTCTATCTTCAACTCGAACTCCCTCTGTCGCCAGGCTGAAGCTGATGCTGCGCATAGACCATGATCATATTGAGTTATTCATGCTATGCGATACTCGTTGTGTATTCGTTGTATATTGATTTCGAGCACGTTTTTTGGTATAAATGCGTGTAGGCATCTTAGTTGTAGAATTAGTCAACGCTTCCGTTTTGTCTTGAGCAGCACATCGAAATTGAAATCGTGATCGAGATACCAATCTATTGCAAGATGAAACCGTTTGCCTGTATTCTTGTTATCCTCGTGGCGCTTCTGGCCGGCAGTCAGGCTTCACTTGAGGGTCTCCTTGGCGGCGGCGGTGGCGGCGGAGGTGGTGGCGGCGGCATTGTCCAGCTGCTGCAAAGCAAATTGGGCGGACTCGGTGGAGGACTTGGCGGTGGTAACGGCGGTGGTTACGCTGGTGGCAGCGCTGGTGGCTACTCCGGCGGCTACTCCGGCGGCTACTCTGGCGGCCAGTCCGGCGGCTACTCTGGCGGCCATTCCGGCGGCTACTCCGGCGGCTACTCCGGCGGCTACTCTGGCGGCCATTCCGGCGGCTACTCCGGCGGCTACTCTGGCGGCCACTCTGCGCCCGCTAAGGTTATCATCGTCGAAGTGGTCAACCAGGGCCAGGGAGGCGGACATGGCGGTTACTCCTCGGGCGGCTATGGTGGTGGTCATGGCGGCTTCTCCTCGGGCGGCTATGGTGGAGGTGGTTACTCCTCCGGTGGTTCCGGCTGGAACAAGGGCTGGTAAGCCAGCGCGTAGCCCAACAATAGCCTTAGACTCAAGTTCAAACAGGGAGCCAAAAAGCAATATTCTTCTGTTATTTCTAAGTTCAATTTTTTTTTTAATTAAATGTTTTAATATATATAAATACGCTTTTTTTTGCTAGTCTTAAGCTGAAAATTAACGCAATATATGAACAGAAATTTTCAATTCAAATTGTTAATATTAAAATTAGGCATCGCTAGCTCAAACCGGTTGGCGAAGTGCTTCCTGTTTGACCCATTGTCCGGCGCGATGACCTCATGGCACAGCGAGCCGCTTTGCATGGGCTCCACTTAATTGGCCCCGACTGCAATTTGGCTCTAATGTGACATTTATAGCACGGGCGCGCGAAGATCACCCGCCGTAAATTGGCCAAAACGAAGACAATTCAATTTGGCAAGGCTTATATTTTACATGGGGCCCAGCGCGTGGGCCTTGTTGCTGCAATCGTCGAGCTTGACAGTTAAACGCTTTGTTGCGGAATTTGCAGCGTGCTGCGTTTCTTTTTATTTTTTTTTTTTTTTGGGTTTTGTGGCACTTGATTGATTACCGGCCATTGGGGTCTGTCAGTTGCCGAACGAATCGATCGCACAAAGGCCCGATTTTGATTTAATGCCGCCCATGAAAATCTGCAAGTCTCGGACCGCAAAGCCCAACAAAAGTCAACAGGTTCAAATGCGCCAGTTTCAGCTTTTGCTATTGACAGTCTATTTACTTGAGGCTAGATCAAATTGAGGGGGCTGGAGGGGAGAGGTGTGGTTTCAGCAATCAGCGATCTCTGCCATTAGTTTTCATAATTTTGCGTGTTAAGTGCTATTTGAAAAGCTCGCTTCCGAATACCCTAGAAAAATGTGTTCTTCAGTTGTTAATGGACCAATCTACAATCGAAATCAATTTTGAGCTAATGTCAAGAATTCTGAATACAAGATCGTTGCGAAATATTACTAAAGGCAAATTTTGTCTTTAGCTTAAATAAGACTAAGCTTTTCCAAGGACATCAGCTTAAAAGGTTCGCAAAAACAAAGTTATTTATAGAGCAGTGTTGGAAAGTCTTAAGAGTTTAGTTGTCCTAAGATTACTCCTTTGAAGAACTTTAAACTTTAAACTTAAAGTTGCAACATTTGGCAGAGCGGTTTGATAAAGTTGTAAAAACTTATTTAGCTCGCAAAGCACCAGTAGCAACCAGCTTTTGAATGCTTTACTTAGTCGCTTTGCAACACTGCCACATATAACCACCAGCATAAACAGCAGCACAACACTAAGAGAAGAAAAGTGACTGAATGCTTATTGCTTTATTAATTGTATTTACTCTATAGCTTAAACAAGTCTGAAAGCCAATTATAGTTCGAAATTCAAATATACTCTTTACTTTAAAATGCCCGAAACATTCCAAACACAAGTCGAAATATATTTTTTCAAAAATATTTTAACTATATTAGGTAGATGATAATTCCGGTTAGAAACTAAATTTAGCCCTCAACATCTATATAAAAATATTTATGGCAGGCAATATTTTCAGCAGAACGGGCAATTATAAATTAAAAAAAAAATTGTTTCATTAACATTGTAATATATATATGTCAGGTCAAGTTCAGGCTGTTGGTTCAGCTGGACTTACGGATGTGGAAAACTAGGTTTACGAACTGAACCTAGAGGCAAGAAATTGGTTCAAGCCTTGGGTCTACCTTGTTAATTATTTTCGATTTTGAATACATTTTTAAATTTTTACAAACTGTTTGTAATTGTGTACCAAGCTAGCAGCCTTCAAATGTTTTACTTACCAGTTTTACAACACTGCCACAGCCAAAAGCTCACCATAACACTAAAAGTGAATAACTTTTAAAGTGGTTGAAAGCTTTGGGCTAAATTAATTGCATTGTCTGAATTACTTAAAAATAATCTAAAAGTCAGCACATATCTTCAAGTTAGAAAAAATATTCGGCATGATACCATGCTACTAGCTTTTAAGCGCATACTTATCTGTTTCACAACACTGTCAAGCCTGGGAAAGAGTCGTGAGGAACGTCGCTAAAAGCTTAATCTAAAATTAATGTTAGAAAATGTAAAAATTATATTTTAAAAGGCTTAAAGCTCAACCAAACGTTAAAAATTCTTGAAGATGCCACCCTCGACTTGTCCAAGTCAAATGGATTCTTTAATTTTAAATAGATTCGTCAATTCATACCAAATTGTATTGATCGGAGTGATTGATTGATCGCCGTGTGCTGGTGACCCGAATAGTGTGCACTTTGGCTTGCCAAATGCTTAGCACGAACCGTGGCAAGCTGTGGGGCAATGCTGGCTCCACGGTAGTCGGCGACACGTGTGCAGCCGATGCCAAGATCGTTGATTATGAGCCCGACAAGCTCAGCTGGCTAATGGCAGCCATAAAGAATTGGACGCCAGTCAATTGCTTTGCCCCCAAAAGGTTGTTACATAAAAATGGCGCGCCAATAAATCGATCTTCACGATGTGGTCGCTGGCGGCTGGCTATTGTCAGAATCGCCAGAATCTAGAGTCTGGGCCGGAGGCTGAGTCAGGTGCGCGTGCCCAACTGCGTCTGCGAATGGAAGTTAGCAGGGAGTGCTGACTAGGGTGAGAGGGAGGGTAGGGGTGGAGGTGACCAGGACGGGGCGTTGCCCACAATAGATGGCAGCAAAGCGTACGAAATTGAAAGTTGGCATAATGAGGGCCAACTGCACGAAGCCAAGATCGAAACGAACGGCCGGCCGTAAACAGATTTGGCAATTACATCTGATTACACTGCAGCAGCAGCAGCCGCAGCAGCGACGACGTCGACAGCAGCAACAACTGCATCTGCAGCGGCAGCGGCTAGAATCTTAGATGCGCAGCACTCGCTGGCTGTATAAATAGCCGAGAGTGCGCCCAGTTGGAAATTAGTTAGTGCACAGCAGCAGCAGCAACAGCAGCAGCAACAACAGCAACAATAACAACATCAGCAACATTAGCAACATCAGCAGCAGCAGCAACAATAACAACAGCACCCACAAAAGATGCAATCGATACGTCGTTTGGTTCTGTTTGGACTTTTGGCCGTGCTGAGCGTCTGCGCCTTTGCCAAGCCCCATGGCTGGAGCAGCAGCGGTGGCGGCGGCAGCGGCTGGTCATCGGGAGGCGGCTCCTCCGGCTGGTCTAGTGGCGGCGGCGGCGGCTGGAAAAACGGAGGCGGTGGCGGTGGCAGTGGCTGGTCATCGGGTGGCAGCTCCTCTGCCTGGCCCAGCAAAATAAGCATCAGCGCTTGGCCTTCCAGCGGCGGCGGAGGCAGCGGTGGTGGTTGGTCCTCGGGCGGTAGCGGATGGAAGAGTGGCGCCGGTGGCGGCGGTGGCAGCGGTTGGCCCAGCGGCGGCAGCAGCAGCTCTGCCTGGAAAGTGAGCTCCGGCGGCGGCGGCGGCGGCCTGGGCACTAGCTGGTCCAGCGCATTGTCAAGCCTTTCCGGCTGGAAATCTCAAGCATTGTCGAGTCTGAGCAGCGGCTGGAAATCAGGCGGCGGCGGCAGTGGTGGCGGCTGGAAGTCAGGCGGCGGCGGCGGTGGTGCCTGGAAGAGCGGCGGCGGCGGCGGTGGCTGGAAGAGCGGCGGCGGCGGAGGTGGCTGGAAGAGCGGAGGTGGCAGCGGCGGCGGCGGCGGCAGTGGCTGGACGAGCGGAGGTGGCGGCGGCGGCGGTTGGTCCTCCGCCGGTTCCAGCAGCGGCTGGAGCTGGTAGAACCCTCTCGATAACGGAACATTGAGGCGACATTAGCAACCAACTGCAACTGTACATAACAAAAAATAACTATCTCTTATGCTATAACATATCCATTTTTTTTTTTTTAATTTTTTAATCTGCCAATAAACATTTAAAACAATGTAAACTTTCAAGCGGGAATTTTTGGAACTACAGAATTACTCTTAAGATGAACAGTGTCGCACTAAAGCATCCAAGCCAGCTGGCTCCAAGCTCCTAGCTGGGTGTGGAGAAAACAATAACTGAGCCTTGTAGCTTATGATTAAACGAAAAATTTCAGGACAAAACTATCAACGGAAATATCAGCAGCAACTATGGCCTTCTACTAAAAGTTTACAGCATACATCCAGCTACTTACCTGGCGTTCAAATCTGGATCAGGATGTTGTTCAGTTACCTCAATGACCATGTCACCTAGATAGCTCAGCCATCAAACACTGCTATGTTAGTTAACCAAAAGAGACAAGTCAGCTTCAGCCCTGGTAAATTATTCCGGCTGAAACAGCTGGAGAAGTCGAGATTTTCCATTTACTCTTCATCTGAATATGGCAACGCAATATGAATCCTTGGAGTCATAGAAGCTATGCTGCGCTAGCCTATTTGGTTAGTTCAGAGATTGTCCAAAGCATGACATTTCCTTGCCTTACGACACTATCCTCAGATAATATCATTCCTAGCCACTGAGTATAATTTCTTATAATAATAATAATAATATACCAAAGCACAGCTAGCTGGTATATTCCGGCTTTAGTTTTATGCTTAACATTTTTGAGCTTAATTTTCAACCTATTTTCCAGTCAGTCAAGCAATTTTAGATACATATGAATATGTGCATTTGAAAGTCTTGATAAGCTCGAGCTATGTTGGAATTCCCTAGGAGTACCCTTCTGGCTAAGAGAAACGTCAGCAGCTTTAGCAAAATGAACGTTTATTTATTAGTACAATTAAAAATAGAGAAGAAGGAAAAGACTTGAGAAACTTTGGGTGTAACTAGTTGGGTAAGCGAACAAAAAAATTAAAAAAAAAAAAGATATAGCACTTGTGGGAAATGCCTCTAGCTCTATATCTATGCCGTGGAACACATGTCAGCCGCAGGAGTAGCCGGAGTATTAACATTTCGTTTCGTCTTGCAGTTCTCGTTGTGTGTGGTTCGGGAGTTGAGTGTTTGGTTTGGTTGGATGGTTGGTTGGTTGTTTTTACCAGCCGCCACCACCGTGCTTGCCACCGCCTCCACCGCCGCCGCCGTGCTTGCCGCCGCCGCCTCCATAGCCTCCGCCGCCGCCACCGCCGCCGCCGCCGTGCTTGCCACCGCCGTTACCGCCTTGCCAGGAGACGGAGCTGCCGCGATTGCCGGCCAGGGATTTGCCGCCGCCGCCACCACCGCCGTATCCACCGCCACCGCCGCCGCCGCCATTCTTTTGCCAGCCGCCCTGTCCGCCACCGCCGCCGCCGCCGCCGTTCTTTTGCCAGCCTCCCTGGCCGCCGCCGCCGCCGTGTCCACCGCCACCACCATAGCCACCACCACCGCCGCCTCCGCCCAGGAGTCCGGCCGAGGCAATGGCAAACATGAGTCCGCACAGGAATACGACGAGCAGAGCGTAGCGCATGTTGAACTGGAGTATCCTTTGATTGATGAACTGCTTAACGGTTGACTGTTGCCTGTTGACTGTTGAGTGCTGCTGTTGGTGCTGTTAGAACCTTAGCTCCACTGATGCCATTAGCAGGGCCAGCGCAGCGCTTTTATAGCGCAGCTGCCACGGAACAGACTGAACTCCAGCTGAGTCATGGTGCACCCAAACACCGATTGGGCATGAAATTGAAGCAGTGCGCGATTTGTGCGGGGGCGACACGCCATTTTCAGCGACGCACCCAAAGGCTACTCGGAAGGCTGAGAGAATCGCAAGGCAAGTGGCTGTCGAAGCCAACGCGCTGTGCAGCCACTCAAGTGCGCGGCACACGCGGCGCATACGCAACGTTTATGCTGGGAATATTGCGCATACGCCACCGGATTCGCACCGAGAACGCCAACCATCGCGCTGGAAGCACTTGTAAACTGCTGAGCCATAGCGATGTCATTAATTACAAGCATTTTGCGGCAACACTTTTTGCCAGCAGCTCACAATTTGTCTTACAATTTACAATTTAAATTCTGTAATTTTTCAGTTTTTGTTTTCTGCATAATTAATTGCAGTTTTTTTTTGTTTCATTTGGGTAATCGCATGCAATGCAAGTGCCAGACAAATGTGTGTGCTGCACGACTCAAACACACGCGCATTCGACGGGGTTCAATGTCAATTACTGCGCAAACACACAACACACAAACAACAAACGGCAAACGCAAAACCCAAACTCAAACTCCAAGTCAAACCCAAACAGATGAGATGCCTGTTCAAGTGAATTACTTACCATATATTGCATCAACTTGTCCACTTGCTGTTGCATTCAACGCGTGCTGCAACTGCAACACTGCGGCGGATCCCAAAGCCACAAATAACCACACAGACAGGTCCACAAGACGACCTCAGCCAAATGAGCAAAAAATATGCTAGGCATCTGCTGCACACTGAACGCAGAACGCACAACGCTGTTCTCAGGTGTTTCCTTTAAGCCTGCAGATCATATCTATTTACATTTATATATGTATATAAAATTATCTTCAGTGTCGACTTAATAAAATCAGAACGAAGAGCACAGTCTTTTTAAATTAGTCAGCTTGAACTTAATTAAATAAACCTAATAAAATAAACATATCAGCGAGTATATTAACTTTTCCCGATTTGCAGTCTATTGTTATTTAGAATTCAAATACTGAAATAATAGCTTTAATCGGGATTTGAACCGAACCCATTGGAGCCTTAATCCAATTTTCTTTGCTTTAAAAATACATATTTTCTATGTTTATAAAACAAAAATGTTGATTAGAATTTTTGGCTCCAAGCAATACATTTATCTAACCATACTTGGTAGATGTCAATTTTGGAGAGAGATCGAATCTAGCCCGAAATTTCTATATAAAAATATTTATGGCATGCAATATTTTCAGTAGAACGGGCAAACATAAACTTAGAGTATAATTGTATCAGTAAAATTTAAAAATTGAAAAAAGAGAACTAATCTATTTATTAGAATATATTTTTATATTTTATCAAAGACGCTGTCTGTAGATACAAAGGAATATGTTGGAGGTGGAATAGGTTGTTCGGCGCGGATTATTTCGATTAGCTAGTATTGCATAACACGCATGACTTGTGTCTCTGTACAGCACTGTTAAAGTGGGATAACAGCAGAGGCTGTCATCGAGTGTGGCTCCTGTGTGACTGACAGAAATCTTGAGAGACAGCACACGGGCGGAGACGCACTACACTCTCAAGTTTATTTAAAAGGCAAGTCAGTTACATAAAAGAAAGCAATATAGACGCTGATAGTTAAACCCCTTTTATATATATGTATATATATATTTGAGATATATTGCGCATTTTAAAAAATGCCATCTGGTGCCACTGTGCCACTTGCAAGAAACTGTGAGACGATGAGTAAACGAACGTTCCACTAGCATTGTGAATGCATAAGGTAATAGCAATAATTACGGCGTCAAGTTAGCATATTAATTGTTATGGGCCATAATTCAAATATGCATTTATGTGAATTTCGAGATCAACGAGAACACAAAACCACCTCAAGTTCGGCTAACAGCTGCCCCCATCCCTTTCGGCTGGAACAGCTTGTTCTACGCCTCGATCTGCTTAGCGTTCCCAGGCAGACGAAGACGCTGGGGCTGGCTGCGGGGCGAACACAAAAACTTCAAGATGTTTCATCTATGTAAATCGTTGTAGTTTTTAATTGTTCTTGACTATGAAATGAATTATGGCAAACTGAAACGTGGCTGGCGAATGCTCGTCAATCATCTTTCAACGATCCGGCGATGCATTCAAACAGAAATCATGCGATTTGTTGCTTAATTTACAATTTGCAATTTGTATTTGTTTAAAAAAAAAATATTTGTTTATAAAAATGGGAAGAAAAAAAAACTGTCTTACATATACGTAATATAATATCAAAAATCAATAAATTCAAATCGAAAACGAAAACGAGAGGTCCCAGAGTTGCCAGCGTTGCTTACTACCAGCCGCTGCTGCCCCAGCCATTGTTGCCACTGGACCAGCCGCTTCTGCCGAGGCTCTGGCCAGACCATCCTCCACCGTTGCTCCAGCCGCTGCTGCCACCGCTCCAGCCTCCTCCATTGTTCCAGCCGCCGCCGCCGCTGCCAATTTTGATTACCTTAATTATCTTGGGCTGGGAGGACCAGCCGCTGTTCCAGCCGCTGCTGCTGCTGATGCTGCTGCCCCAAGGATTTGAGCTCCAGCCGCTGCTGCTGCTGCTGCCCCAAGGATTTGAGCTCCAGCCGCTGCTGCTGCTGCTGCCCCAAGGATTCGAGCTCCAGCCGCTGTTGCCGCCGATCCAACCGCTACTGCGTATCAGTCCCGCCGAGCTGCAGGCAAACAGAGCGCTGAGTACTATGAAGAATTTCATCCTGGAATCTCTGTTGATATGGTAGCTGGGCTTGACTGCTCCTGTGTGTGGTGGGTGTGTGTTTTGAAGTGTGGCAATTGAATGATCTGAAAATGTACGCAGCGTACGCTATTTATCTAGATTTGCATAGCATCAAATCAGTGTAAAGCAGGGGAGCGGCTGAGCAACTGAGCGGCTCATCAAGTCAAGAATCCACAAAATAAATCGTACTGACTGCTGGTGGGGGTTGCCCTGGCCTGGTCTTGGTCTTGGTCTTGGTCAGCTGATAAATAAACCAGCTGCGCACATATAGAAAGACGAACGAGGTAATTGCAGTTTATTAAACCACTTTGAGCGTCCGATTCTTGACCAGGGTCAACTACTTTACAGCACTTTACGACCGAACACGGCAACAACAACAACAGCAGCAGCAGCAGCAACAGCAGTAGCGGCATCTGCAGAAACTCATCACAGTCCCCGTGGCCCATGGGGCCCAGTTCATGTTGCCAAATTGCACATAACTCTTACGCTTGATGGATCATTTCCTCGCCAAGCTGCTGTCTGCTGTCTGCTGGCTGCTGGCGGAAACAACGAGCAGCTCTGCTCGCTTAAGCCTAATCCGCAATATGCCGACAGAAGCTCGCAGCGGGTGACTCATTTGTCATGTTGGCAGCTCAGCCAGGTGAAGGGGCCCGCCAACTGCAACCACAAAACCGCTGCGGCTCACACAGTAACCACCAAGTCAGAGCGAACACAGCCCAAAAATGCAATCCGTGATTTCAGCTTAAGATATGCAACAGTTGTCATCCTTTAAGATCATATCAATGGATACAAACTATGTGAGAGAAATATTGATATTCATATTTCTATGAGTCCCAATCCAGTCAAGTGTAAATATAAATTCTTAGTTTGTATTTTTACTTTTTATTTTTTTCAGTGTCGGCAACTCGTTCTTAATCATCTTTTAAGTAGTGCTAATGAACAGGATATGTTCCTTCGCATTTCAACATTCTCTTGGCTCATTGTTGTTGACCTCGCCCGTTCGATACACCAGTTCGCATATCTGATCGCAAGTGTTGGGCTTCACTGTACTCTGGCGCCTAGACGCTTGTTGCAATCTGTGTGGCGGCCTCTATTCCACAGATGTCAGTGAATTGTTTTTCTACTTACGTGTGTTTCTTTTTTGCATTTTGGTTTTTTTCTTTTTTTTTTTATCGCATAGGCATTATAAACAAAAATTAATTGAATTGTCAACGCTTAACATGCAAATTATATTTGGGGGCCAATGGACCAAGATCAGGCCATGTGAACACCAACAAAAAAAAAAAAAAAAACAGCTTACAAATGTATGTGTACATAGAATTAAATATGAGTAGGTGTATTAGATAAAAAAAAAAATTACTTTGGAGCCGATTAGTTGCGATTCTATCGGCTTATCGCAGTCACAAAATTGTTAACGAGTTTCGAAATTCCTTAAGTCTAAATTAGTTTGTAAGTAATATTGGTTGCCTCGCAAAAGCAGCTTTGAATTCATATTTTGACATCAAATAACTTTAGAGGCAATCAAAAATGGAATATGGGCGGGATTCGGTTGCACTTTGAATCTTAGCTCGAGTTGCCTCTATTTTTGGCCGCAGATGCCGCAACGTTCGAGCCGAGCTGTACGTGGCCCAGACGATTGTTTGCCATAGGGCTTGTTGCCATTGACCTCCAGGAAGTAGTTGCCCTTTATGTTGTGCGGCACGGCATAGCCCATCGGCTGTTGCTCGCCAGTGCAGAGATCTTCGCGCAGCCGCTTGAGCGAGCTGCAGCGTGTGGCCAAGAAGTTGCGCTCGTTGCCCGGATAAACGGACTCCTCATAGTATTCCCAGGCGCGATCGTGCGCACAGGTCACCGACAAACAGCCCACGGGCAGGGGCTCCAGGCCGCCCGGATAAAAGTCCACATCGCCCATGGGATCGCGCTTGCCCAGCACGCCCGGATTGCTATGTATGACATCGATGAAGTGCGCATCGCCGCGCTGCAGGCCCGACAGAACTTCGCCCTCATTGAAACACGGCTTGGCCGGGTCCAATCCGGTTATGCGCGGCAATGTTTTGCCCGTGAACTGCTGCAGATAGCGCCCTGCCGCGCCCACAATGTGCGCACCCAAACTGTGACCAATCAGATGTATATTTTCCACCTTGACCACATCCAGCAGCTTGACCAGGCCCCGAGCAATATTCTCGCCAATCTCGTCCGTGTTGAAAGCCGACCATGTGTACAGGGTATCCACGAATCTGGCCACATCCACAGCCTGCATTATAATATTTCAGATTTGCCATTTAAAAAGTTTGCTATTCTTCTCAATGATGATGCAATAATAAAAGATAGCTCTCATTCCGGCTATTTGAATCTAACATCTAAGCTCGTAAGTTACATTTTCAGAGAATTTTATAGTGTATGCGACCTTAAAATTTAGTTAATTTTAGTTTGCTGAATATAGAATTGTTTTCTTCTGATTGAAATATTGGAAGTTCAAAGGCTATCGGGAAACGCGTCATAAGTATTCCTTGGCATTGATTGTTCTGATGGCTCGACCTTGTCACATTGTTGATAAGAACTAAAACGCTTTAGTTTAAGGCAACAATCAAAAGTGATTAGATGGAAAACTAAACTAAGCAATAAATGTGCATAATTAAAGGTGTTGACTATAGACTATTAGAATGGGAAAAAATGTGTATCTGATCATTTGATCAACATTGTTGCGTCTAACTACAAACTAATGACTACAGATTCATGCCAACCAATACTTCAAGTATTCTATGGGCTTAAGCTCAAGTTTTGCCTTAAATAAGTTTGTCAACGATTTTGTGTTTTCACTTCAACAGATTTATATACCCTGTTTCAATTTGTAGCACTCATGATTTCGTACGCCCCCTTGTTTTACCCTGTTCCCAAAGTGAAAAAGACTATATTCAAGCCTGTTCATTAGTCTCAAACTTGTATACTGTGTTGCCAGAATTAAAAGAGGGTATATTCGTTTTGTACAGCATTCATGCGGCTGTCCGCCTCTGCATGTTAATACAATTTTAACAACTTTTAAAGTCAAGCAATCCAAATGTGAAATATCTAATAGTGTATTTTATTGGCCAAACCTACCTGGGGGTGGCTTATAGCATAATGCACAGACCTAGCAGTTTTATAGCTAGACACTCTAGCGGAATATCAAGTTTCTAAATTTACCTCAGCCCGCAAAATCGATTGATCCTCAAGTCACAGTTTTAGGGTCCCTTATTTAGGTTAACATTTTGGGAAACAGCCAGCTCATAAGCAAGAATACTCGTTATGAGCTGTGAGCAGAATATCGAGCAGTCGCCTACACCCGTTCGACTGCTGCCTACATATAAAGAGAAATTCCCAAAGAGAGATCAAATTGGGGTGGTGCTCCTAGAATATATTTGCCCAGCCGACTTTCTCTTCCGTTTCGCGTTTGTCTTAAACAGAGTATGCTGTAATCAAAACTCACCACAAAGTTAACATCGCCGCGACAGTTGTAGGCCTGGGCCAATTGCTCAATGGTATCCGAATCATTGACGGTAGTTGTCCAGCCAGTGGCAAGAATGACAACACCTTTCTTTGGGTCGAATTGGGGGCTGTGCCACATGGCTTCCGCTTCGAGGAGCGGAAAGTTTGTCTTGTTGCAGGCGGTGCGCAACTGGAAGTTCATTTGCTTAATGTCTGGCGTGTACCTCGACCTGATCTTGTTGGAGCTAAGCGCCTGCGAGCCTGTAAGAAGCCGTAGTCTCATGGCTGGAGATTAGTTTTCCTCTGGTACTCACACAAATAGTTGATGGAGCTGGAGGCAAACTCAAAGGGATAGCCGGCAATCAGATTTTTGCTACCCTCGAGCAGGCCCTGCGGCGTGGGCAGCATCTTCGGATCGATAATGGTGGACCCAACGCTCCGCAGTGAGCCAACCACATCGGGCACCGTCCACTCGATGCCGTGGCCCAGCGCAGCCAGCAGCAGCAGCAGCAGCAGGTGCAGCAGACAGTGCTTCAGATTCAGATTTGGGCTTTCCATTCTAGACGACAGTTGCGAGCGCAGTGAATGCCGAAAATTGTGCGGAACGAATATTTATAGGCCCGTTTGTTGCAGGCGCCCACACACACACACACATACAGAGAGAATATGGAGAGAGTGAGTGCGAGCAGTACACCACATACACACACGGAGAGAGTGAATGGGAAGAGTGCGGTACGAGTAAACAACAATTCAAGTCGTGTGACCATATAGATGTATTTCATTCGCATCACAGTAATCAGATAAGGTGCACTTGTCTCTTAATTAGATTCAATAGTAACATTCACTCGCACACTCGCCACTTGCCACTCGCCTTAGGCTGCACTTCCCCTGTCGAAATGCATTTAATTTAAATACAAATTGTTTTAAATCTCAATCCGAATCGAAGCAGTTGTCGCTCTCTGGTTAACCGACGACGAGCTCCCAGCGAACTTATGAAATATATCGAAAATATGCCCCTCATATTCCTGTATTGCAATTCTTAACTGAATTCATTTTCAATCAGAACTGTTCCTCTTAGTATAAAGTCTATAGCATACTCATTCACCTCGACTCGTCTCGAGTGTTCAAATCTGAAATAATACGCTGATTGCGAATAAACAAAAGTGACAAAATATCAGAGCTTTTACGAGAGTGGGCAACCTTCGCGACAATATCGTTGTTACTCCACAATCGCTAGGGTATATGCTTTATTATGCGCTATCTACGAGTATCCCATATTAATGGGGGTATTCCGCATCTATTACTATGCTGCAGACGTACGACCGCCGCCTCATTTGGAGTGCCCCGAACACAGACGTCACAAAGAACCGGTTGACATCAGCGCCCTCCCGAATTCCCGAAAGCTGATGAGCATAAAGAGCCCAGCCTAAAGTTCTAGTCAGAGTTCAGTAAATAAATTTAAAAAATTGTTAAGCTCAAGTGCTTTGCAAATCTGTTAAAGTTGGGCGCAGTAT